ATTGTGGTAAACTGTGGTCAATGACATGAGACAAAGTATATGTGAACTGCTGTATGGAAAGTGAATTTGCTCTGTAAATCTTCACCCAAATAAAAATAAATTAATTAATTAAAAAAAAAGAAAAAAAAAGAAAAATTACCCAAAGGACTAATAGACCACATGAACCTCAGTCTCCATGACCATGAGACCAGAAGAACTAGATAGTACCCGGGTACTACTGCTGGCTGCTCTGAAAGGGATCACAGAAGGAGTTCCTGATAGAGTGGGAGAAAAATGTGGAACAAAACTCAAAGTAATAAAAAAGACCAGTCTTACTGGTCTGATACAGACTGGTGGAACATTTGAGATTATGGCCTTTAGTTACCCTTCAAGTCTGGAACAAAACTCACCCCTATGGCTCAACTTTAAGTCAAACAACAGACAAGCCTACAAGATGAACAAGAACACCAGGGAGGTACCATGTCTTTGAACAATCAACCACAAGGGATCAAAAGGGCAGCATTTGCCCAGGGATAAGGTTCAGAAGGCAGGAGGAGACAGGAAAAGACAATGAACAGAAATAGTAAACACGAGGAGGAAGTGGGAAGGGTGCTAGTATGTTATAGGAACTCCAATCAATGTCACAAAACAAAATGTGTATCAACTATTGAATGGAAAACAAATTTGCTCTGTAAACTTTTCACTGAAATCACAAGAAAAAGTTACTTTTTAAAAGACTTAATTCCAAATGTAGTATGGACCTTGTTTTGGTTACTAGTACAGCTCTGACAGGAATATACCACAAATGGGATGGCTTGAACAAACAGTTTATTCTCTTACAATTTTGGAGGCTTCAAGTCCAAGTTCAAAATGCCAGGCTCTAGGGGCTGGGTGAAAGCTCCTCAATCTCAGGTTTCAGCTCTGCTTTCTGTTCCTGGCCCACTGAAGCTGGAGGCTTTTCTTCACTGAAAGAGCTGCTGGCTGCTGAGGCTGCCAAGCCCAAGGTTGACAAGTAAAAAGGTACAGTCCCAATGTTACCAAACAACGTGGCAAGTCCAGATGAAGTTCCAAGATCACCAGGGCATGGCAGGCTGTTGAACAACGACTTGGCTACATGCAAGCTTCAAGAGTACCAAAAGGCTAGAGACCTTCCTCAAAGTGGCTTATACAGGAAGCAGACCACATCCCTAAAGCAGCTACTCAGTTGCTCCACTAGATTTCATCATAAAGTTAATTACTAATCTCACCATGGAGAAATAATTACATCCAGCTGCCCAGCCACTCAATCAGGCCCAGACATACAACTTTAACCACCACAGACATCGTGTGGATCCAATGGTAACATTTTGGGGATAAGTAGGGAAATGTGAACATGTCCTGGGTTAGATGATATTAATTAGGTTAACTTTACTAGGTAATGATAACAGCCTTAAGGTTATAAAGGAAAATGGATTTTTTAGAGAGGCGTACTTAAGTATTTAGGAAAAATGTCTTGTCTTTGAAATACTTCAGGAAAAAAAAAAGAAATATGGCAAATGTTAATTGCTGTGTCTTGGTGATGGATATATAGAAATTCATTATACAGTTCTATTTTCCTATTATGTTTAGATTTTCCATAATAATATTTAGAAAAAAAATATGGCAGGCTATACACCAACACTTTTAAAAGTTCATTCCTTCATTTGGAACTCTTGCTGGTATGGATGTATTTTCTCTCTTACTAGCTTATCAAGATTTTCTAATTTTTGTCAACAGTAAATGTATACCTAGATAATTTTCAAACATTACATAAACCATTCGTGTTTCTGGAAAGATCAAGGCAGGTGCCTCCTCCTGAAGACACAAAAAGGTGCATGGGAGGTACAGACAACAAAGATGAACCCTTCTGCACTTAACAGTACTGTGTTGTCAGTGATGGCAAACACTGACTGACCTACAGGTGGATAGATGGAGGGACAGGCTAAATTATTAGGTATGTCTATGCAGGGGAGAGTGTGCCCATGACCATGTACAGGGTTGGCAGACAGCGTTTCTACAACTCTATTTGTATGTTTTGTAAGAATTCCCAGGTATATAATAGAGCTGACAAGAGACAAGGTTGTAGTGACTTCTTAGCCATAGCCAGCTACCCAGAGGAAGCAAGCAGTTGGATCTGTGGTCACTGGGAACATCAAGCTCAATTGGTGTAACATACTACACAAAACATTGTTCCACATTCTACTCTGACGAGTAGCAACTGGGATTTTAAAAGCTTGCACATGGCCATCTAGATGGCAATGATGGGTCTCTCCCTGTCCAAAGCGAAGAAAACCAAAGACACGTGGAAACAATTAATCCAAGAACTGGTACAACAAGCGATCCTCAGCCTATATGACTGAGACCAGAAGAACTAGATGGTATCCAGCTGCCACTGTCAACTACTTGGAGGGAGATTTATGTAGGAGAGCCTGGATAGAGTGGGAGAAGAATGTGGAACAAAACTCAAAATCACGAAAAAAAAAAAAAAAAGAGGAACCAGGTTTGCTGCTCTGATTATTCCTTGTGGAACTCCTGAGATTATGGCCCCTTGCTGCCATTCAGGTCTGGAAATGAACCTACTCCTGTGGCTTCCAGCCAAACAAAAGACAGGCATATGAGCTCAACATTTATATTAGGTAGATACACTCCTTGCAGAGATCAATCATGGGAGAATAGAAGGGCTGTGTACACACAGGGAGACAGCTCGGGTGGCAGGAGTGCATGGGAGGGAAGGACACAGGGAAGAGGTGGCTATGGGGAGGAAGTGGGAGGGGAGCTGTTGCATTGTGGGACATTGCAGTCAATGTCATGAAACAAAGTGTATGTGAGCTGCTGTATGGAAAATGAATTCACTCTGTAAACTTTCACCTAAATCACAATTAAAAGAAAAAAAGACAGGTGCCTCCTCCCTCAATACACACACTACAAAAGCAAACAAGCCTCAGGTTCCTCTTCCATCCCACACCAGGCCAAGGCACAACCCCTTTCCAAACTTGTTTTCAGAAAATGACCCATACACACTGCCTATCACAGAAGGGGAAGGGGCAGAGGCACTGATGCATGATGCAGTCGGATACAACATTTCTCCAAAAGGAGAAATGGGAAGAACAATCAGTGTCTGGCTGCATGGGCAAGTGTAAAATTGGTGAGTAAGCAGCACCAGTCAAAAACCCACTGCCACCAAGTCGATTACAACCCCTAGCAACCCTACAGGACAGAGGAGAATCTTTTTTTTTGCAACTTTAATGGAAGCAATGCTATTTTTTTTTTTAAATTTCTCTTTTATAAACACCAAATCTTAATATCTAAGTCAATTTTTTGCAAAGAATTTCTCTCAGGAATAAAACAGTGATGCTCATTCCTCCAAACATCCAAATTGAAGGTGTACTGAAAGCAAAATAAAGAACAAATGAAGCTCACACAGAAGGAAAAAGTAACAAAAATCACATTCTAGGGGTTCAGTGCATACGGCAGCCTGGCATGTGCTGCCAGATCATCCTTAAGCTGACTTGCAAAATAATAACACCCTAGCACATCAAAATATACATTTTCCATTTGCTTTCTTTTTCCTTTAAATTAATAATAATAAAGAAAACCCTCAAGGAATTCATTATCAATTGCCCTTCTCGTTCCAATGTCCTCTAAGCATGTAAAGGTCAGGATGGCTACTTGCAGCACATGATTGGTGGTCTTCAAGGCTTAATCTTCTTCCACACAGTGTAAAATACCCACAATTCCAAGTATGAAGGGACACAGACAATTTCCTTGGAGAATTCCACAGGACAATACAGGTGCCCGAGTTGTTCTTCATAGATCGATAGGGCTTCCGTCAAATTGACACAGTTCCCTTGTGTAAAGTATTTCCCATCCTGTTTCAATACTTTCATTGAAAGGTCAAGAATCAGTCTAAGAAATTCCCATGTGGAATCTTCCTCTGGAGAGGTGGAGATTGGGACAGCTGTCAAATCATTAATCACATAATCAAACTTTCTCCCTTCTTTGGCGTACCTCTTCAGTACTGGAATGCAGTCTTCTATTAGAACCTGATAGCATTCTCCTTTAAGATTGTCTAAGACTTCACCACATGTTTTTCGCATGTATTTCTTACACCCATCAATTACCATTTGGTCAATCTCTACCATAGTGACCATCTTTGGTTTCAGTTTGACTATTTCACATAATATGCCTCCATCTCCGCCTCCCAGAATCAGTACATCTTTGCCAGTGTAATCTTCTTTCCCACTGCCCATGATGGCCTGGGTGTATGCCAAATCACTCTCTGCCAAATTGACATCCCCACTAAGGATGAGAATATTTCCAAATTGCTTCGAGTGTAGAATTTTAATGTTCTGATAAGGTGAATCTTCATCATACACCACCTCGTCGATGTCATACTCTACCAGGCGCCCGTCGGCAGTGGGCCAGTACCTGTCGATGGCCCCTCCTCGAACTATGGGTGGCAAACGCTTCACCCTCCTGGTACTGTCCTGACTCAGTTCTTTCACTCTTTCCTCTACTTTGTTCAAAAGACTGTCGATTTCTTTGTTGCCTTGCACGTCACTGTTGTAACTCTGGAGGTCCAGCAACACCAATCCGTGAGGATAAATTCTCAAGCTGGCAAAGCTGCCGTTTTTGTTGGTGTAGGTTGCTAAGCAGCCATGGTCCTGCCAGGTGTGCACTGACTCCGTCATTCCCTGCTCCTGGAAAATGGGCTGGAGGCCTTTTAGAATGGTCTCGCCATCAGCTTTGGAGCCGAGCGTGAAGTCCAGGGTGCTGTGCCGTGCTGCTGCCATAGTGCGGCGAGGCACTGGGCCATGCCTGGGAGGCGGCGGCGGGAGACTGCGGACGGCGCGGAGTCGGCGGCGGGAGGCCCAGCGGAGGAGGAGGAGGAGGAGGGGCTGCCGTGAGCTGTGCGGCCGCGGGTCCGGGCCGGGCGCCTCCGGCGGGGGAACGAACAAGGAAGAGGCTGTGCTACTGGTGGAAACGCGGGCGCCTGCTCCCTAGCGTGCGTCACCAATGGCCGCGCCCCGCGCAGGGTCAAGTGGCGCTTCCGCCATCCGCTAGGTCTCTTTAGGTTTAAACCGTGCCGCCCGACTTCCAAGGGGCCCACCCTGGGCAGTTCCCCCGGAATCACCTCTCCACCGCCACCCCAAGCCCAGCCCTCTCTGATTTCCTTGGAAATAAAATGCTAGGATCCACCCTTGTCAAAAAGTCCTGCCTGTTTTCTTAATCGGCTGCAAATCTTTACAGAAGCAGACTCTTGGTTAGCAGCCACACATTTGAACCACTGTGCCACCAGGGTCCCTTTAATTAATAGTGCAGACAGTCCAAAAATGAAAATGGAAGAACAAAGATTATAGAAAATAATAAAGTGTGGGGAAGAATAAATTGGCTGTGCAGAGGTGGTGGTGGAGAGAGGAGGTGTGGCTGATAAAACAAACAGAAGGACAGATCTTCCTGTGAAGGAGACAGATGCTTCTACTTCAGTGGTTTGCAAATGTATCTGTATAATCTGAGGAGCTTTTAAAAAAAATACATAGATTCTTGGGCTCTATTCCAGAGACTCTTGTTTAGTTTGTCTAGTGAAAGGGCCTTGAGCATGGGTATATTTTAAAACATTCCTTTAACGTAGAGAGTGGTTGAGGGTTGCTGTCGAACAGAACTTTATGTGATGATAAAAATGTTCTATAATCTGAGTTGTCCAGTAAGACTGCCAGTAGCCACATGTGGTTAACTGCTTGGCTGCTAACCAAGAGGACAGTGGTTAGAACCCACAGCCACTCTGCAGAAGAAAAGAACTGGTGATCTGCTCCCATAAAAATTACAGCCTAGGAAATCCTATAGGGCAGTTCTATGCTGTCATATAGAGTCCCTAATGAGTCAACATTGACTTCATGGCACACAGCAGCAACCATAAATGGCTACTGAGAACTGAAAATATGGCTAGTGAGACTAAGAACTGATTTTTTTTCTTCAAGTTTTGCAAGCATTCTCACCCTCCTTCTCCAAATTGTTCCTTCCTCATTAACATAAACTTATTGCTCTCCAAGCTGCCTATCTAATTTTTTGAATTGCTGATGTCTGCTTGATCCCATCTAGACAGTTCTTTAAAACAGCACAATGCCCTAGGCAGCCATTCTTTACTAACTTAACTAAATTAGTGTTTGGTTTGGGAGCTTTGGTGGCATAGTACCTAAGGCATTTGAGTGCTAACCAGAAGGCTGGCAGTTCAAAGCCACAAGCCACTCCTCAGAAGGAAGACTGGGCAATCTACTTCCGTAGTGATACCCTTGGAAACACGCAAGGAGGAGTCGCTAGTGTTTGGTTTAAAGAAGACTCCTGGGGATATTTTTGGTTCAAGGTCTAATGATTAGCTCAGAGCAATAGTTGTAGTAGTTCATCCAACCTCAATAGCTCTAGAAAATCTGAATTCCATGAGAATTTGAAATTGTTTTCTATATTTTCCCCCTTTTTGATCAGGATTCTTCTACAGAATCTTTGACCAAAGTGTACAGTAATGATAGCTAGGCACCATCTATTTCTTCTGGTCTCATGGTAAAGGCAGTTGTTCATGGAGGCAACCAGCCACATACTTCATTTCCTCCTGTTAGGCAAAAACACGGCTAGCCAGGCGGGTGAATGATTTAAGCTGGAGGGAACTGTAAGAACTGGTCAAGCAAGGAAGCGCCTGACCAGAGCCCATACCAAACCCCAGCACGTAACCCTTACGAAAGACCCAAGCACCTGATTCTTACTCACGAAAGCCCCCAACCATTTCCTGCCCACTATGTTAATGAAGTGCTTCAGCTCTACTTCCTGCCCCCATGCTAATAGGGTGCTTTAACCTTATTGGTTCCTGTAACACATACCCTGCTCTCAATCCGGTCCACTGAGGAACAGGAAAAGTAACACTATAAAAACCCTTTTCTT